GAGGAGACCCCTTCACGCGTGTTCTTCGTTTCAGGACATTGCTCGGATTCTGCAGCAGAAGGAACTGCAGGAGGAGAAGAGGCGGAAGAAGCCGCCCCCGGACCCCCTGCGGCTGGGCGCTTCCGAAGAAGGCTACCCCCCGGAGAACAGAGGTGAGCGGAGGGGCTGCCCCTCTGACCCCCCATTCTCCCCCCCCCCCCGGGTTGCTTTTTCTGCCTTAATCTCTGCAAGGGGAATGATTTGGGTGTCGTGATTAAGACGGTGACTCCTTGGGCCAGCCAGTCCTCCCCTCTCGGCCCCAGGAAGAAGGCAAGGGCTTCTGGAAATGGGGTCAGGAAACAGGGCTTGATGCCAGGAGTCAAGGCAGACTCAAAAGCAGCAACACAGGGACACACAAATACACACACGCACACACACACACACATATAGACACAAACAGATACACACAAACAGATATACACACATACATCCCTCAGACCTTGGCAAGTGCCCAGAGGTCCTTCAAGCTGCAATCCCGGAGGCCAAAGTAGATTCAGAATTACTGAATAACCACATAGAAGGGACCTTGGAGGTCTTCTAGTCCAGCCCTCTGCCCAAGATCATAGACTCCTAGGGCTGGAAGGGACCTTGGAGGTCTTTTGGTCCAGCCCCCTGCCCAAGATCACAGACTCCTAGGGCTGGAAGGGACTTTGGAGGTCTTCAGGTCCAGCCCTCTGCCCAAGATCATAGAATCCTAGGGCTGGAAGGGACCTTGAGGTCTTTTGGTCCAACCCCATGCCCAAGATCATAGAATCCTAGGGCTGGAAGGGCCCTTGGAGGTCTTCAAGTCCAAACCCCTGCCCAAGATCATAGAATCCTAGGGCTGGAAGGGACCTTGGAGGTCTTCAAGTCCAAACCCCTGCCCAAGACCATAGAATCCTAGGGCTGGAAGGGACCTTGAGGTCTTTAAGTCCAAACCTTCTGCCCAAGATCATAGACTCCTAGGGCTGGAAGGGACTTTGGAGGTCTTCAGGTCCATCCCCCTGCCCAAGATCATAGACTCCTAGGGCTGGAAGGGACTTTGGAGGTCTTCAAGTCCAACCCTTGACTTTTCCTTGCTGGCTTCTCTGTTCAGTTTGGGAGACGTTAGTGGGCTGCTGGCTGGGGGATTCTGGGAGTTGAAGTCCACAAGTCTTAAAGGGGCCAGGCTTGAAGACCCCCCTTGCCTTAGACCCCGCCTGGTGGCCAAGAAGGATGCCGGACTCCGCTTGGAAAGGAACAAAGGCCACCAATGCCAGCTGGGCAGAGCCGGGTGCCAGGTGGGCGGGGCTTCCTGCCAATCTCCAATGAAAGCCCCCCCCTCCCCCCCCCCCCGCTTGATGATCATCGCTGCTGCAGAAGGGAAATCATCTCCCGGATTGTGATTGAGGGGCCGGCTCTCCTCTTCTTCCTCCTCCTCCTCCTCCTCCTCGAAGGGCTGATGTGATCAGAGGGACTTCCAGAGCTGGGATTTAATGAACTCGGGTGGGGAATCCGCTGGGATGCTGCTTGGTGTGGTTTCTTCAGCCTGCAGGCCTCTTCGCTGTGACTGTGCAACACCCTCTGCTTTTCTTCCCTTGGGACACTGCAAGCGCCATTACATGCCAGGGGCTCCTCCTCCTCCCCCCCTCCCTTTCTCCTCCTCCTCCTCCCTCCTCCCCGTCCCTTTCTCCTCCTCCTCCTCCTCCTCCCTTCCTCTTCCTCCCTTCCTCCTCTTTCTCCTCCCCGTCCCTTTCTCCTCCTCCTCCCTTCCTCCTCCCTCCTCCCCTCCTCCTCTTCCTCCTCCCCCTCCTCCCCTCTTCCTCCTCCCCTCTTCCTCCTCTTCCTCCTCCCGTCCTCCTCCTCCTCCCCCTCCTATCTTGTCCTGTCCTATCCTTCCTATCCTATCCTATCCTATCCTATTTATTTCTCTCCTCTCCTCTCCTCTCCTCTCCTCTCCTTCCATCTCCTCTCAGAAAGGGCGCCAAAGGAGGGACCAAATGATATCCGAAGGGCAAAAAAAATTTAAAACATTTCAAACATTATTTTAAATAATTAAATTGAATTGTTGCCTTGTCCTGTGGCGAGTTGTCTCACAGCAGGCAAGGAAGGGACACCTCTTCCGTGGAGATGGGGAAGGGTCCTGGCTTGGGGTCTCCACTGGCGGGAAGAGCTTCAGAGGCGAAGCCAGTGGAGAAGGGAGGGGGGGGTCTGGGGGTCCTGCAGGAGCTTTGCTTACTCGCATGCCTTCCCTGCCCCTCCAAGCTTTCTCCCCCCCCCCCCGGCTCTCCATCCCCCTCCCCCCCTCTGCTGTGTAGCCCTACACCTGCCCTTCACCGGGGTCACTAACTCTCCTCCCTTGTCTGTCTTGCCCCTTCCTCGTTGCCCAGACCCCTTGTCCGGCAGTCCCCGCGAACCGGCAGGGCCCAAACTCCCTAGACCAGGCAGCGCGGATGGGCAGCCCCCCTCCCAAAGGAGGGAGCCCCGGGGGGGGCCTCCTCTGCTTTCAGAGGGTCTCGACCTGGAGACTTGGGAGAGCTCCCCAGAAACGAGAAAGGCCAAGGACGGCCGGAGGAAGGACCGAGAGAAACGGCCGGAGAGGAAGAGAGACGGGCACGGGAGACCCCCTCACCACGAGGGTCCTCCAGAGGTGGAGGAGGAAGAGGAGGAGGAGGAGGATGAAGACAGAGCTCGCAGTCGCCCCAACTGGAGCCAGGACAAAACTCGGGGGCCACGTCTCCTGCTCTGGGATGCCGAACCGCCCCGGGCCGGTCGAGGCGGCAGGGATCCAAAGAGGCCTCCGAGCCACGAGAGACCCCCCAGGACGCCCCCTCCTCCGACGGACCGGGAAGAGGAGGGGAGGAGCGGGCACCGCAGCCGCGGGCCCCGAGGGCCGGGGGAGCGAGGGGCGACCCCCAACGGGCGGGAGAGGCAGGCGGAGAGACGGTACGGCCAAAGCCGGTCCCCCAATCTGGACCGTCGCGGGCTGCCACCCCAGGAGGACCGTAGCTCCCCGCGGCCCCCGGCCCACCATCACGCCAGGCGCCAGGACCCGGAGGCTGCCCCCCGGCACCAGCCCAGGAGGGAGGACGGAGAAAGGGAGCCCCGGGGGGCTCGGGCCTCCCCCGCCTCCCACCGCAGGGAGGGCAGGGACAGGGAAGGCAGGCGCCCCCGGAATCCAGGTAACGGGACCGCGGCCCAAGGGGGTCTTTGGGCTTGGTTCTGGGTCAAGGGTGCCGGCTGCCAGTCGAGGAATGCTGAACCCTCCAGGAAGAGAGGAATGTGCTAAAACTGCCAGCCAGGAGGAAGGTGGGGTTGAGTTTTTTTCCCTTACAGAACAGCAGCCTCTGAATTTGCTCTAGCTGCACAACTGCTTCTGCTCCAGGTGAGAGAGAGGCTCCTGGGGTTTCCACCACAAGGAAGGTCTGCCTTGAGCCTGGAAGCCGAGGCGATCCCTCCGTGGCCCACAAGCAGGTCCTGGGGCAGCTTTTGGCTCATTGTGCGGTCCTGGGTGCTCTCTGAGCTGGGTGGTTTCCTGGCAGACGTTTCATCACCCAACTAGGGAACATCTTCAGTGCTAGAAAGGAATGGGTGTGTGAAGAGGAGGAGGAGGAGGAAGAGGAGGAGGGGGGGAGACTGTGGGATCCTGGATGCTCTCTGAGCTGGGTGGTTTCCTGGCAGACGTTTCATCACCCAACTAGGGAACATCTTCAGTGTTAGAAGGGAGGGGGGTTTGCAGACTGGAGGAAGGAGAAGAGGAGGAGGAGGAGGACTGAGGGTCCTTGGGCCTCTCTGAGTTTGGTGGCCTTCTTGCAGATATTGCATCACCAAACTAGGGAACATCATCAGTGGAGTGGTGGTGGTGGTGGAGGAGGAGGAGGAGGACGATGACGATGACTGTGGGGTCCTTGGTGGTCTCTGAGCTGGGTGGTTTTCTTGCAGATGTTTCATGACCCAACTAGGGAACATTATCAGTCCTAGGAGGGAGAAGGAGGAGAGAAAGAAAGAAAGAAAGAAAGAAAGAAAGAAAGAAAAGAAAGAAAGAAAGAAAGAAAGAAAGAAAGAAAGAGAAAGAAAGAAAAGGATTGGGGGGGGGTCCTTGGTGCTCTCTGAGCTTGGTGGCTTTCTTGCAGACATTTCATGACCCAACTAGGAAATATCATCAGGACTAGAAGAGAGAGGGGTTTGCAGGGAGGAGGAAGAGGAAAAGGAGATAAAGAAAGAAAGAAAGAGAAAGAAAGAAAAAAGAGAGAAAGAGAAGGAAGGAAGGAAGGAAGGAAGGAAGGAAGGAAGGAAGGAAGGAAGGAAGGATGGATGGATGGTGGGGTCCTGGGTGCTCTCTGAGTTGGGTGGTTTCCTTGCAGACGTTGCATGACCCAACTAGGGAACATCATCAGTGGAGTTGAGGAGGAGGAGGAGGAGGACTGTAAGGTCCCTGGCACACTCTGAGCTTGGTAGTTTTCTTACAGACATTTCATTACCCAGCTAGGGAATAACATCACTGTTAGAAGGGAGTGGGGTTTGTGGAGGGGAGGAGAAGAAGAAAGGCGGATAAGAGTCATTAACCATAACATTCTTTCTTGGGGTTGTGACAGTTCCAGGTCTGTTTCACAAATAAGAAAACAACAGAGTTGGAAGGGACCCTGGAGGTCTTCTAGTCCAACCCCCTGCTCAAGCAGGAGACCCTAGACCCATTTCAGAGAAACGGTTGTCCTCTTGGAGACAAGTCATTCAACTGATGAATTGTTCTCACTGTCCGGACATTTCTCCTTAGTTTTAAGTAGGTTCCGAGATGGTTGACCCGTTGGCCATCAAGACCGAACGGCCTTGAGCTCCTAACACAAAGTGCCAACCTCTCTGGTCCCTGAAGCCCAAGACCAGCGTGGATGGCCCCCATCCCTTCTTCTGCCACGGCTCCATAATTGAACGATCTGATGGTTTAATGCAGCGTAGTAACGATCTGGGGCCTCTCCAAGGACGGAGAACCCAACAGATGGTCTTCATCCTGTCCCAAACCGGGCGAGGTGCTTGCCGGTTCTCTGCTTGGGGGGTGGGAAAAAGCTACCCAGACTTTCTCCCTCCCCAATCGGAGACTCCAGGCTCTGGCTGGTGGCAGACGAATCCCAGATGGGGGCCGGCCCCTTCCCTCTTTGTTCCCAGGAAATTCTTTAAACAAGGAACACAGGGTCGCATCTGGAGAATCGATGCGGTGCCCAGCTTTTGTTCTCCTTCCAATTCGGTGACGTGTTTTGCAAGGATGTGTCTGTCAGGTTTGCAATGCCCCCCCCCTCTTCTGTAGGCCTATAAATAGGGCTCCTGCCTGGGTCCTCGCCAAGGGAGGGGGGCGCCACAGGGAAGGGGTCCCGCTCTGTGATGTCGGAGTTCTTCCCCAGAGAAGCTGCTAAGTGGAGGCAGCTGGGCTGCTCACGCCTGGCTGTGGTGTGCTCAGCTGCTGCCCAACAGGGGCGCCAGGGGTCTCTGGGGGGAGGGCCTGCTTCCCCTGGAGATGGTCCCTCCAGGGGTCTTCTCTCTGCTGCTGGCTGGCCAGGATAGAGCCCGTGCACAAGAGAAGGGCAGAAGGCTTCTCTGCTGGGGTCCTGCTAAAAGACCCGCTTTGCTCCCCGGACAGAAGAGAAGGAGGGGGTCCGTGGTGCTCTCTGAGCGGGGTGGTTTTCTTGGAGACGTTTCGTGACCCAACTAGGGAACATCATCNAAGGAAGGAAGGAAGGAAGGAAGGAAGGAAGGAAGGAAGGAAGGAAGGAAGGAAGGAAGGAAGGAAGGAAGGAAGGAAGGAAGGAAGATTAGAATGAGGGAAGGAAGGAAAGGAAAGAAGGAAAGGAAGATTAGAGGGAGGGAAGGATGGAGGGAGGGAAGGAAGGAGGGAAGGAAGGAAAGGAATATTAGAATGAGGGAGGGAAGGAAAGAAAGGGAAGGAAGGAAAGGAAGGAAGGAAAGGAAGATTAGAATGAGGGAAGGAAAGGAAGGAAAGGAAGATTGGAGGGAGGGAGGGAAGGAGGGAAAGAAGGAAGGAAGGAAGGAAAGGAAGATTAGAATGGAGGGAGGGAAGGAAAGGAGGGGAGGGAAGGGAAGGAAGGAAGGAAAGGAAGATTAGAATGAGGAAGGGAAGGAAGGAAGGAAGGAAGGAAAGGAAGATTAGAATGAGCGAAGGAAAGGAAGGAAAGGAAGATTAGAGGAAGGAGGGAAAGAAGGAAGGAAAGGAAGATTAGAATGGAGGGAAGGAAGGAAAGGAGGGGAGGGAAGGGAAGGAGGGAAGGAAGGAAGGAGAAGAAGATTGGAAGGAAGGAAGGAAGGCAATGGTGGGGTCCTTGGTGCTCTCTGAGCTCAGTTGTTAGGTTTAGTGTTGTTCTGTCTAGCCGGACTCTCCTTCACATCCCCCCCCCTCCCAGCATCATCTAACTCTAAAAGCAAAAGGTAAAAGAGGGCTACATTTCCATCTGTTGCCAGTGCAGAAACATCCCATGTTAGCAGCGTTGACACTTTGCTGGAAACGAGGACTTTCCCCTTCCTGTCTTGCAGGGGCAAAACCTCGGGGGTCCAAAGAAGACCCCTTCGCCAGACCCCGATCGGGGGCTTCCCGTGACCCCGAGGCCTACGATGCCGAGATTGCCTGGAAGTTGCAGGAGGAGGAACTGCTGGTGAGCCGGGCCAAGCTCGGGCCTTACGGAGCTGCGGGGGTGGGTGGGGGGAGAACCCTGAGACCCCCCCGAGACCCCATCCAGTTTCCCCATTTTCAGCTGCTTTGGTGCCCTGCTTTGATTTTGATCCATGGCAGGAAGCAAAACAGCATCCCGGTGATGGGGAGGGGTCTCCTCTGAGAGTTGAAGGGGGGGGTGAGGGGTGCAGGGCCCGATCGAAAGAGTGGGAAAAGGGGTTGTGTGTGTCCCCCCCCCAAACAGAATTTCCCAAACATTGGAGACCAAGGGGTCTGTTTTGTTTTTAAAACATGTAATTGTATTCTATTTAAGGAGAAATTCAAATAACAAATGTCCCCCCCAAAAACACACATAAAAGATAATCAAGCAAAGAAAAATAAAATAAAACAAAAAAGTGCATTAAAAAACACAAACACACGTATTGTCCCCCTTAGTTAAATACTGATGAATATATTACAACAATATTAGCTTGGAAACAGGCCCCAAACACGTTTTTTAAACTTCTAACTCTGTTTGCAAATTATTCACCTGTCCCCTGTCTACTATATGGATAACAAAATACTTAACAGGTGAAGCATAAAAAAAAAAAAACCAACAGAAAAACAAGATTAAAGTTTGAAAAGTGTATTAGCAGACTATTACTGGGTACAACTCATAGAAAATTGACTGCAGCTTCTTAGCTATCCTAAATCAAGGGCAGGGCCTAAACCCCACTTCGTAGATCAGTAGGGTGGGAAAGGGGTGTGTGTGTGTGTGTGTGGTCCCAAAGCAGAATTTTCCAGATGTTGGAGTTTTCCTGGTGGAGCCACAGTGGGTGGGAGGGAGCCAGAAGCAGAGGGGGGGGGGTGTCTTTGAAGCATCCCATTTGGGGAGGTGGGGAGAAAGGGGTGGGGGACGCCTCCGAGATCTGCAGGAAACAGTTCCCCAATATTCTCTTTTTTAAAGTTTCTCTCTTTTTTTTGGTTTTTTTAGGCCAGCCAGGTGGACAGGAGGGCTGCACAAGTTGCTCAGGATGAGGTAGGTGCCCGCAAGGACAGGTGAACGACAGAATAACAGAGTTACAAGGAAACTTGACCCTTTTATGACTCGTGGACTTCAACTCCCAGAATTCCTGAGCCAGCCATGCTGAGGGGAAAGGGAGAGGTTTCCAAGCTGAGCCAGGCTGGCTCAGGAATTGTGGGAGTTGAAGTCCACGAGTCATGAGGGGGCCATAGTTCCCTCATGCCGGCTCAGGAATTCTGGGAGTTGAAGTCCGCAAGTCATGAAGGGGCCATAGTTCCCCCATGCTGGCTCAGGAATTCTGGGAGTTGAAGTCCACAAGTCATGAAGGGGCCATAGTTCCCTCATGCTGGCTCAGGAATTCTGGGAGTTGAAGTCCACAAGTCATGAGGGGGCCATCGTTCCCCCACGCTGGCTCAGGATTTCTGGGAGTTGAAGTCCACAAGACATGAGGGGGCCAAAGTTCGAAGACCCCATGCCCACCACGTATGATAATAAATACCTGGTTTATACCATTTCTAACCCCCAAACATCCTTCCGCAAAATACAGAATAGAGTTGGAAGGGACCTTAGAGGTCTTCTAGTCCAGCCCCCTGCTCAAGCAGGACACCCTATAGCATCCAAATCAAATGGCTCTCCAGTTTCTTGAACTCTCCTGTGATGGAGCATCCCACAACTTCTGGAGGCAAGTTGTTCCACTGGTTCATTCTCCTCCCTGTCAGGAAATTTCCTGACGGGGAGAACAATCAACCAGTGGAACGGCTGGCCACTAGACATTGTGGGTGCTCCAACACTGGTTGGAGGTTGGGCAGCCATTTGTGTGAAATGGTATAGCTCCTCCTGCTTGAGCAGGGGGTTGGACTAGAAGACCTCCCAGGTCCCTTCCAGCTCCTATTCTGATTGCATAGCTTGCCTTCAGACATTGCGGCTGTTCCATCACTGGAGGCTTTGAAGAAGAGACTGGGCAGCCACTTGTCTAGAATGGCATGGGGGTCTCCTGCCTGAGCAGGGGGCTGGACTAGAAGACCTCCAAGGTCCCTCCCAGCTCTTCTGTTATTCCGTGGTTCTGAAACTGAGTAAATCTTAAGCAGAGGTGCGAGCCAAAAAAAAAGGGATAATTTGCTGGATGGACTCTTTCCCGCAGGAAATAGCCCGGCTGCTGATGGCAGAGGAGAAGAAAGCATACAAAAAAGCGAAGGAACGGGAAAAGAAGAGGCAGGATCCCGACTGGAAGGTGGGCCAGGGTTCAGTTTGGGAAGATGTTGGCGTCTTCTGGACAGGAAAAGGGGAGGGGGGGACACACTGATCCCCTGCACAAGAATTCTGTTTTTCAGTAGAAAAAAATCTTTGTAGCTCAGCAATGAACTTTGGGGTCCTGGGTGCACTGTGAGCTGGGGGTGTTTTGCAGATGTTTCATGACTCAACTAGGTAACAGCATCAGTGCCAGGAGGGAGGGAGGTTTTCAGGGAGGAGGGGAGAAGAGGAGGAGGAAGAGGAAGAGGAGAACTGTGGGGTCCTTGGTGCTCTCTGAGCTGGGTGGTTTTCTTGCAGACGTTTCATGACCCAACTAGGGAACATCATCAGTGCTAGAAGGGAGGAGGATTTATGGAGGAGGAGGAGGAGGAGAACTGGGGTCCTTGATGCTCTCTGTGCTTGGTGGTTTTCTTGCGGACGTTTCATGACCAAACTAGGGAACATCATCAGTGCTAGGAGGGAGGGGGGCTTGTGGAGAGGAGGAAGAGGAGGAGGAAGACCATGGGGTCCTTGGTGCTCTCTGAGCTGGGGGTGCTTTGCAGATGTTTCATAACCCAACTAGGTAACATCATCAGTGCCAGAAGGGAGTCTAACTTGCTCTCTCTTTTTGAATTACGAATTCATACACAACTATGAATTATGCTTTCACAGACCATCTATTTCTAATTCCCATCACGTTTGGAAGGCGTGCTGAAATTTCAAATTATTCGGGACGGGGGCAGGGTGAGGAAGGCTGAGTTTGAGATTTTCTGTGGTTACATCCTGACCTTTTCTTTTATAATCCTTTTTTAAAATGATGATTAAATCAGTAGGTTTGGGTCCCATTCCTCATTGCTGATAACAATGGGGAGGGCCTAAGATTTCACTCAGGAGGTTAATCACACCAGCCTCGTCCCACCTCTTATCCCAAATTAAGATCGGCCTCGGGCAATTTTATTTATTAAATATATAGGTCCTTCCCCCCACTCCCATCTCACACTCAGTAGACCAGGGGTAGGCCACCTTGGCTCTTTTATGACTCGTGGACTTCAATTCCCAGAATTCCTGAGCCAGCCATGCTGAGGGGAAAGGGAGAGGTTTCCAAGCTGAGCCAGGCTGGCTCAGGAATTCTGGGAGTTGAAGTCCACGGGTCATGAGGGGGCCATAGTTCCCCCATGCTGGCTCAGGAATTCTGGGAGTTGAAGTCCACGAGTCATGAAGGGGCCATAGTTCCCCCATGCTGGCTCAGGAATTCTGGGAGTTGAAGTCCACGGGTCATGAAGGGGCCAAAGTTTCCCCATGCTGGCTGAGGAATTCTGGGAGTTGAAGTCCACCAGTCATGAAGGGGCCAAGGTTGCCTATCCCTGGCCTAGTCCATTGTTTCTCCACCTCAGCAACTTTAAGAGTGTAGACTCCAACTCCCAGAATTCCT